TTCATGTTGGTGAACTCAAACTCTGACTTTCTGAGATTCTATGATTATCAAGTATGTGCTTAGATGATCTATTATCTAGTATGTGCATAGATAATCTATTATGATTCTACTATGTGCTTCTCTGGCCCTCTCCAATACCTTTTCTTCTCCTACTATGGCAATTGTATTGGTTGTTAGTACTTTTAGAGACTACCAGGCGGTCAGTATATGCTGTGGGTACCTCATAGCCCCCAATCCTGCTTACTGGCATTAGACTGCAGAGTTTGGTACTGTAAAACTCTTGTCTGCTAAGTCTTACACATCAGCTGCTATCATGGCTAGAGAAAAAATTAATTTTATTTTGCTTTCTAAGTCTGGAACAAGGCACATTTTATTGTCAGAACCTAATTTATATCCAGAACCCTGCTGACAAAAGAGTTTAGGTAATGTGGTTTTTAGACTTCCATCTTTTGCAATACAGGGGAAGAGCACAGGAGGCAAAAATAGGTAATTGCCAATAGATAATCCCACATAGCTGCTATAGTGTTCTGTATGAAAAATTAGATTCAAATTCTTGGCCTTAATGAGGATTTTTTGTTTGTTTTGTTTTGTCTTATTTTTAGATACAATTTGTCATATTATCCTGTTCATTAGATTAAAAAATAACGTATTTACTGTGGAAGGGGTTTGTTCTTTAATCTTAAAGGAATTCCAACACAAGAAAAATAATTTTATTTTAGTTTTATAGTCTTTGTTCATTTAGAGAAGATTTGTAACTTAAAGTCTTGTCTCTTTCTCTATTTGGGGTGCATATCTTACTGTAGGGGGCTTAGATCATGGTCAGAATTGTAGGAATCTTAGGTATTACCAAAAAAGGAATGGCAAGGATGAATCTATATTTATCCAAGCAAAAGAAGTTCTCCATTAGAGGAACAGAAAGATCATTCTGCTTGTACTGTTGTCGATTCTAAAGCATGTAAAAATTCCTTTGATTCTCTTCCATAGGGTAGAGAGCCTGAAATTGCTCTTCTTTTATCTTCTTTTTTTATTTCAACTTTCTTTTTCCTCCAGATTACCTCTTTCAAATGCCACAAGGAGTCAAAAGTCTTATAAAATATTTTGCAACTCTGGCAAATTGACATTTATTTGAAATTTCTGTTGCTTTTAAATATTATGTCTTTGATTTGACACATCCTCTCTCATAATCTTACCCTCTTCCTAGAATATGAGTTGTTAGAAAAGGTGCAGGGACAAATTAATGAAAATATCTTTCAAAATGAAGGCAAAATAAAGATATTTTCAGATAGACAAAAAGCTGAGAAAATTGATATCCAGAAAACCCAAACTGTCAGACATTCCCAAAGTTTTTTAGACTAAGAAAAATGATAACACACAGAGGAAGGAAGGATACAAGAATAAGTAATATCTTATTACTAATAAAAAGCAGGCTTAAAAAATCTGTGTGCTTCGTATGTTTAAATGTTTTTAAAAGAGTATTGTCTTTTTAAAGCAAAAGGAAAAATGGTTGTGAGGTTAATATTTAATAAAAGAATACAAAGATGAATGGGTAAATAGAATTATACTGCTAAGCAGGGGTCTGCAGTGGAACAAAATATATTATAAACATTTATGAATATGTCCAAATTAACCCCACTAGTATGTATAACTATAACACACTAATAAAGGAATTTTTCAAAAAGAATTATACTGCTAGAATTTTATATTGTTCAAATACTATTTCAAGGTACATTGTGATTAACTTAAAGTGGATAGTACTATGTATGTACTATTTTTTCCCTATACATCCTTAGCTCTAATAAAGGTTAATTTATAAATTAGGCACAATAAGAGACAAACTACAATAACTAACATTAAAATAGAACAATTGTAAAAATATACCGTAACAAAATTGCCAGCATCACTACTCTTGTGCTTTTAGGCCATTATTAGGTAAAATAAAGGTTACCTGAACACAAGACATGTAATACCATGACAAGTTGATCTAATAACTGAGATGACTACTAAGTGAAACAGATAAATAGTGAATACAGCATGTCCAGGGCAGGATGGAGCTGGAAGGCTTGAGATTTTATAACACTGCTCAGAATAGCACAGAATTTAAAATATAGGGATTATTTTTTTTTCTGGAATATTCCCTTTAATATTTTTGATCACAGTTAACCAAGGATAACTGGAACAATAGTTAGCAAAATCATGGATAATGGAGTCCTACTAGACAGCTAAAAAGCCAATACAAGAAATATAAATGGAATTGAACTAGTTTAATGAAAAGAGGATAGGAAAAGAAAAACAAATAAAGAACAAAAAATTGAGAAATAGAAAGCACAAAAATAAACAAATGCCAGGAGATGTATAATTAAACAATTATTTAAGCCACTGATTGGGTAGCAGTAGGGTCACTTTATAGTGTAATAATAGTAATATGTCTTTGAATTCTGATACCTTTACCAAATTCTTCTGAAGATCAGCTTACAAAACTGCCAGGAAGTATAACAAGGTCACAGACGCATGTTAAAGAAAGGTTTTTAGTGTAGCATGTGTGGACTACTGATGGTTCCAGATTAAACTGGTTTCTTGCCAAGTGAGTCATCAGTGAGATCTCTTTAATCACAAATAGTCCATAAATGTATTGGCATGAATATATTTGTGTTTAAGTAAACAATGGGGATCTAGTTTCATTTTGGATTTTTCATACTGCTTAGGAACTTTTCATTGATAAACATAATTATTTTAGATAAATTTAAGTCGTAATGTGTCCAGTAATACTTGTATAGCTTGTTCATAAAACCTGTGCTTGGTCTAAACTTCTGTTCTTTTTCTTTAAACTCTATATGGGTAAGTGCTTTGAGTGTCTTAATCTCCAAGAGCCACATCTCTGTGAAACTGTGAGCTAAAGGGTTTGGATTTTTATGCTGATGTTTAATTACATGAGCTTAATTTGTCACAACATCCATAGAAAAACCAATATGAATTCTTTAATACATATAAATGTAGAATAAGACAGCATAGGAATAGCATCATATAATTTCACTATATGGCATTAGACCTTTTTTTGTTTTTTTTTTCTTTTTCTCTTTCAGGGTGCTCTAGAACAGGGCTCAAATTCTCAGCTGATGGCTGTCCAATACACAGAAACCACTAGTATCAGGTAAGAAATTATCAAGAAGCTTTTGGCCAGGGAATTTAAAATAGCTTGTGTTTTAGTAAAGTTGAAATTCATAGTTCTTTTTTACCTTAATTTGTCTTAATCTGTGCTGTTCATATTAATTCATATAAATATACTACTTCTAAAAAATACTACTTCTGAGTAAAGTCAGATAATTTCTAAGGATAATCTCTCCTCAGTCCCTTAAATGCAGATTTAGTCAGATTGCTGTTCATTTGTAATTTTATTGAAAATCTTAAAAACACATAGCTCCCCTCTCCTTGATTTGCCTCTATTTCATAAGCCTAAGGGAGAGGAATATTGTTTTTCACTGTTCTATGCAGATGTCTTGCTGGATGCTTTATTCATTTTTATCTTTAAATCCATATAATAATTTGAAGTATATTTTATATATGAAAAAATTGGGCAAGTCATTAATTTTTTTTGGTAATTTTTCATTGTCATAGAACCAAGTGCCAGAACCAGAATTCAGACCCTAGCATTTGACATAAAATTTTCTTTTCACTACACAATAGTACTTAAGATTTTGAAACAATTCAAAGAAAGTACTATACCTAGGAGTATCTTCACTAATCCATCCCATGTATTGATTCTTGATTTTATTTCTAGTGCTAGGAGTCTTACTAAGGAAGTTGGAGCCTAATCTGACATGATGAAGATTTGGGCCTATTTTTTCTTTTATTAGGCACAAGGTCTGTGGTCTAATTCCTAGGTCCTTGGACCTCTACAAACTACAGAATGCTAAAGAAAGAAATTAATGAAGTCCTTAGAAGATTGAAAGATCTCCCTTGTTCTTGGACAGACAGAATTAATATTGTCAAAATAATCATACTACCAAAAGCACTATACAGATTTAATGCAATCCCAATCAAAATCCCAATGACACTTCTCATAGAAATAGTAAAAGCAACTATACTACAGAGCAATAATAACAAAAATGGCATTGTATTGGCACCAAAATAGATTTGTAGACCATTGGTACAGAATACAGGACACAGAATCAAACCCACATAAAAACAGTTATCTCATACTGGACAAAGGCACCAAAAGCAAATACTGGAGAAAAGATGGCCTCTTCAACAAATTGTGCTGGGAAAACTGGAAATCCATATGCAATAAAATGAATTAAGCATTTTCTTTCACCATGGCATAGTATTTTTTCATTAGTTAAAAATGTTTTTAATGAGTTACAGTCCATTCTCATTCATGGATCATCTTACTTATGGAATTTATATTTGCTTAATTGCTAAGATTTATTTGTAGCTGGGCACGATGGCACACACCTGTAATCCCAGAAAGTCAGGAGGCTGAGGCAAGAGATCAAGATTTCAAAGCTGGCCTTAACAATTTAGCAAGGCCCTACGCTACTCAGTGAAGCCCTAAGCAACCAGCAAGACCTTGTCTCTAAATCAAATTTAAAAATGTGGCTTACTGGTTAAGCACCCCTAGGTTCAATCCTTGATACCAAAATATAAATAAATGAAAATAAAAGTTATTTGTAACCCCCAAATAATACAGCATTTTGAAACATGCATAGATAGTCTAAGGTAAGGTTAAACCAGACAACCTTTTACCTTCTTGTTTCACTATTTAGTATATACAAGGTCCTTTTTGTAGTTCATTTAGTGTCATGTTTTTCATATTTTTATACCTTTTATTGGCAATTGTCCTGTTTAAAAGGGCCCCAAGCACATTGCTGAGGTGCTGTCTAGTGTACCTAAGCCCATGAAGGGTCCAAGGTATTATAAAGTTTTATTCAGGCATGAGCTACCATGCTTTTGGCTGTAAGTTCAATGTTTATTAAAGAAAGTGTCCTTAAACAAAAACATGCATAAAATGAGGTTACATATTGAATGACAGAAATATAATCATCTTTCAGAGGCTTACATTAACCCAATCCTGTATTTATTTGTCTTAGGATTCACTAATTCATTGTTAGTGGTGACTCTTTAGAACACA